TTTTTTTGATTTCTCACTTTTCTCTCAAAGAAAGAAAAACGTGATCACTCCCAATCATGAAAATGAGTTTCCTCGAATTAAAAAAAATGTACAGACAGAGCTTCTTAAAAGTACACGATGATCATGGTTTAGGTCACGCCGCATTATCCTTGTACGCGCTTTGGATCGATCTTTCGGGAAGCTTTTCAGGACAGTATGCGTCCTTAACGAAGAGAAGCAACGGGGTACTGTACTGAAATATAAATTACTACGGTGCGGATCAAAGTAGAGCCCCCTAAAACACGAACTGTACATGTATAAACGAGGATGCAACTGAGAACGAAACGAGAATTAACAGAGAATACTCTTGGCAAGAAATTTTCGCTCGAAAACCGGTATTCGAAATTATTTGAAAATGTTGAAACTTTCGTATAAAATGTAAGAGGAAATTTAATTGTTTATCTTTTGATTATATCAATTTGATTATATCAATTTTTATTACCGTCTTAATTATATTCAAGAAATGAGGGACGAGTGACTCTGCTCGAAAACTTTTTACCAAGAGGAAACGAAATTGTGTCGAATTCTGTCGTGCTGGCCAATGTACACAATATATATACTAATAGCGGTTTCTGTAAATTACACGATTAATGGTTGCCTGCAATCGCTCGCTGCCTCATTCACGCAATACTCTCGCGCACTTTTATATACAGTCGCTCGCGGCACACGGTTGTTGCATTAAAAAAAAAAAAAAAAAAAAAATTAATTTATACTACTACTCTCGCTCACGATGATGTTTTACAAAAGAGCCCCCGACGGATTCGCTGGAAATCTAAAATACAGATCGTTACTAAAAAAATTTCCTTTCGTCTTTAGGCAGAACGGATAAATGAGAACAAAACTTGAGCGATCTCGACTACTTCACTCGTTCCTCTTGTTCATGATTTCGAATGCTGTGCAATGAAGCGAATTAATCATCAATTCAATTGTTAATCGAACGAAAAGGAAGCTAACCAACGTGTTTCCATTTCATTCTCATTTATCGACTCATTGTTTGCTGTCAAAAGCGATCGAACGTGATCGCGAAACGACATCGTATCGTCGTCAGTCGATTTTTATGTACACACGTATAAATAATCAAGGCACCAAGGGAATTAACAGTCAATAAATAACGCGGGCTGATACGCGTTCATGCGTACTCGCGAGTAGAACGACGTATTCCTCGACGAATTTTCATTTCGTTTTATGTTCCTTCAATTCGTTTCGACGCGCGCGGGATTCAAAGATTCATCGTATTAATCGTGAAAAAAATCGCGACACACTCACCATACCGAGTATTTTTAATTAGATTAGCGCGTGTTATTTGGTTGAACCAGCTCTAATTACGCTTTGCTATACGCCAGCTTATCTACCAGATACTTAAAAATGAATATGTGGAATTAAACTATCCGGGCGTTCCGAGACTGTCTCTACGGGAATGTCAACTCAGACAAACGATTTTCCGGTCCACACGGTTTTTCTGCGCTTAGGATCCCTTAGGAAGAACCTTTCACACCTTTCGTCCGTCGTTCGCAAAATCTAAAATCTACGACTAATTTCCTTTCTTTGCAGGACCGATTTCCTCGCGAGACCAAACTAACAACCGGCAAGGGTAGCTCGGCAAGTTTCCTCGGAGTTTCTCCAGTCGCCGAACTTCTCTTGCCGAAGTTCTAAAAATTAATTGTATTAATCAGACGTTACAGAAACAGTACAAATAATAAAAAATAATAGGAATCTTTCTTGCGGTTCAATCTGCAATTCACGATCCTCTCCCCCGATCTCGATCGTTTCGCGAATAGAGAACTTTCTTAGGCGATCTTTAGCTTTCTTCGAACGATCATTAATATAATATTACACGAGGCTACGGGATAAAAATCATACCCGGCTCAAGGCGATCAACTGTTACGAGGGTGACAACTGCTTTTAAATACTTGAGCCAGACCTAAGTTTTGACTAACTGCCACGAATTAGTTAACTCGCCGACAACGTTAACCAGCGATCGTTCGTGCAATTTGTATAAATATCAGTTACTCGTGATCGCTAAAAACACCATACAGAAATACTCGAGTAACTACCTTTCAGCTTCTTTCTTCTTTTGTTTTTACAAAAAATCCTATGGACAAGGAAGCAGTCTCTCCATGCCTTCTTTTCTTTCCATCACGAATAATTGAGACACGATTCTCCTTTTATTTTCTCGTCTTCGTTTTTGTATTTACTTCTATTACTTTCGCTTCATCTTAATAGCTTTTCTTTGTTCTCATTACTTTTCTCTCTCGTCGAGTAAATTTTTCCATCGATATTCCCTTCGCGTAGCGTCCTTAAAAAAACGTGAAATAGAAACAAGGAGCCGAAAATGCTCGTCCGTTCGTCAAGTGAACATTAAATATATCGCAGAAGTCGAACGACAGCGTAAATCATTTATAAAACGTAACAAGATTAGCACGAAACATCACAGCGTGTAAAATCCAAGGTGAATGGTACGTGTGTATGTGTGTGTGTCCGTGTCCGTGTGTGTAAGAGCGTGAGACGAAGAACAAACATCGTAATAAAATATGGTAAAATCCTTAAAAACTTAATTCCCTCCATCCATTTTCATATTTCGCTAGAAGTCAAGTCAATCCGTTAAAAAAATCGATCGCTTTAAATATTTATCAATTTACATACCGTGAATATCGCTCTTATTGCTCGCGCCGTGTTATATTGCACACGCGCAATTCTATCAACGACATAAAGCGAGTTTGATTGTAGTCGAAGCAGTATTGGTAGTTATTATAGTTTATAGTCGTTTCTGTACCGAGCAGTCTGACAATTTAATTCCCGACTGAATCATTCGTCACGCGGATGAAACGCGACGACGACAGGCATCGCATTAATCGCCAATTAGTAATTAATTGGAGGAAATTAATCGTCGGACTGCTCGAGATACCTAGTTGTTTGAGAAAATGCATAAAAAATACGGCGGTTTGATTTGGCTCGAGGCATTAAGCGTCACCGGAAACGCTGCTACGAATTCTGCTCGACAGATCGGCCACCCTGTTTCTTTCTTTTTCTTTTTTTCTTTTTTTCTTTTTTCTATCGTTACGTATCGGGGGCGAAGATCTTTACAGTATTCTCGGAATTTTGCGCGTTCGAGCGCATCGCTCGCCTTCTCTCCTCGATCAACTGTCGCCGGGCTTGTTCTCTCGCCTCTCTCGCCTTCTTGTTCGCCTCGCTGTTGGCTGTGGATTTTGATTTGTGAATCGGCGCGACGCGACGTTTCGCCGTGGTGCCGTTTTGCGGGGTTGAGGCCACTGTCTTTTTCTCTGGTACAGTCTGGAAAAGACGTTGAAAAATATAGACTACTAAATAGAAATAGAAAAGATTAACAACAGAAATTAATGATATCGACATCAAGGACCGAGAGAAGTTAGAGGTAAGTCAGAAATTATGTTAGAAACTTAACAGAATTTGCAGGAAGATTTGTTTCCTTTTTTTCAAGTATCAAAAATGCAAAATGAGGATTGGTAATATAAATTAACAGTATCATAATTGCTATGAGCTGATAGCAAGTTAAGAAAAGTTAATAAAAGATAGAATATTAGAAGACTAGTAAGTGGACAAAGGAAAAGAAATGTAAGAAGCTTGCACTTTTAAATGTTACACAGAAATTTGCAGTTCAATAATAAGGAGAAACGTACTTAAAGCAAGGATCGTTCAAGGTTTTCTTCTTCCAGCATTGTCTTTTTAACCTTCGTTGTTCGTGCACTCTGACGAAAATTTAAAAAAATACCGACGAGGGTGAGGAAGGGAACTTTTATTCCACAAACGCAAGATGATACATTCGATCGCTGGCAACAGTGATTAATTTAATACAAATTATATAAAATTCTTGAATTCAGGAAGCGATCTTCGTGCGTGCCGATGTTTAGAAATATAAAGACAAGACTCAGAAAACCGTACACGTACAAATACAACGATAATCGACAAAGCGTTCGATTCGATCTAAGAAACGTACACGCGTGTCTCACTTTAACAGGGAAACTCTTAACATTTGACGAATTTGTGCGAACTTCGACGTATTTCACGTCTTCCAAATAACGATTCACGTGGAACCTCTTCTTCAATGGCAAATAATTGTCAAGGTCAATCGATTTAATACTTTCTCTATATTTTCGATTTGGCAAACGGCGAGCAAGGAAACCTGAACGAACGTTTTGCGAAACATCCGTAATAACGTTGGCACTGACGTTGGACGATTTTATATTTCGCGTGATTAAACCGTAACTCAACTTTTTCACTCGCTTCTCCGATTTAGAGCTATTACGCATCGTAACTTTCGACGCAATTTCAGAACTCATGGAGGATATTAAGGTAGACAAGAAGTTTCGTATTTCGTCGTTTCCTTCTGACCACGTTGGAATATTATTCGTGATGTTATTTACAACGAGGGTCGACTCGTTTTTGTTATTCACCACGCAGGGCGTCAAATTCGTGAGTGAAATCAAACACTGCGTGGAAAAATCGTGATTTTCAGATGTAGGATTCACAATTTCGCACGTAGCCTCGGAACTGTCGCGCAAGCTCCGAGCATTCGCATCTCGAGTGTGCAACTGTTTAATAAAATTATTTTCCGAAAGATCATCCAAATGGTTAGAAATGACTTTCTTTGAAGGTTTGTCTACCACAGCTTTGAAAACCTTTTTTCTCCTCTTGTCGTACACCTTCATTCTCTCCAGTTTCACCGACCTGTTCACAGTTGCCGAGGACAAATTCGTCTGGTTCTCCACATTGTAGATCTGCCTCAATTGACGCAGAGTTTCCTGAGACAATGGAACGAAAGGCTTCGAGTCGCTTAATTTCCAGAAAACGTTATCAGACGCTTCGGACGAAGTTTTTGCTATTTTTCTTTTGGCCGATTCTTTCACTTGCTCCTTTTTCGGCTCTCTCGTCTGTCGTTTTACGTTCCATGTTCCGGCAAACGTGCAATTTTCTTCCAAAGACTTCGCGTCGGGCATCCCTCGAGATTTCCGATCATTATCTACGAAATCAAGATTCGACCAGATTTCGTTCACGACAGAGAGATTGCGCTTTTTGCAATAATTATGACTCAATTTTCTTGCGTTCTTTGCTTTTAACGGGTCTTTTTCTGCCCTCGTGTGCAATATACTTTTTGCAGATAATTTGGCAATCTTCTCAGCATCGCGATCGACGAATAAAACATTTTTTCTCGCTTCAGGTAGTTCCTTAATATCGTTCGAAAATGTGACGCTACGCGCGAGTTTTTTAACACTTTCTTTGCGCGAAGAAAGGGGGGATTTGCTACTTTTCTCCTCGGCCCTTTTCTGAGCAACGACTGGCTTCAAATTACAAGACTTTTGCTCGCCGACTCTCGACTTAATTGAATCGTTTTTTCGCTGCTTATTTTCCGTTGTACGCGGTCTTATTTCTCGATCATTTTTTACCTGCATCTTCTGGTTTGGACTTCTTCTTCCTGCAGGACTACACGATTTGGCTTTCGATCGAACCTGGCCCACTTTTTTATCGGTTCCCTTATGCGAGGAGAAAGTAGTCTTCAAACTGCTCGCATTGTTTTCTTTCTCTTGTGCAATCTTTCCCCCATCATTTGCTATCGATTCCGAATAATCGCCTCGCGGCTTGTCAAACGAATAATCACGACCTCGTTGTTTGACCTCGACGTCTTCCTTTTCAAACAATACCTCAAATTTCGACGAGCGACGTCTCTCGAGAGAATCATCGCGAGGATACTGATGACAAGATGGTCGTTTGTAATTCTCGAAGTAAAATGAATTTACATGGCGCTGCAATTTGTTCACGTAGTTGACGACGTACGAGGCGCGCGGATTAAGAGGGAAACTATCGTTTTTTATCGACTGTATTTCAGTTATATTTTCACAAACGTAATCCACTTCGTAATCTTCGCAATAATTCTCATTTTCTTCTATATTTCGGGGAACGGTTAAAGGTTGAAACGCATCGTCGCATAAACGCATTTCGAGCGCGAATTGTTCGGCTATTGGAGGGTTATAGGAGTCGTTTTTGAAGTCTTCCGGGTTGTTAAATGTTGCATCGTTGGATCGTACGCGTTTATTGGTAAGAGAGTGCGAGTAGGATCTACGGGAAGGCAGTTCAGCTGACGTTACGTTATCGGAATTGTCGTGGGAATGGGAATTTTTTTCAGAAGGCTTCAAACGATCGATTGTCTGAGGATGTACAGAAACTGAACGTACCTCTTGCCACTGAGAATTGCGTAACTTTTCTATCTGATCGAATAGTTCGTTTACTTGCACCACCTGCAGCATCACCATGTCCCAGAAGCCCGCCAGATCCTCGCTCGTCGTTGGGAATTCCTCGCCAGGCACTTGGTTCTGCAACGTCCATTTGTGAACAGTTTTCAAAAATCAATTTCAAATCGAGCCAAAATATATTGCTGTACGTAACTATAGCGCAATGCCAGGGTAAAATTAATATCCGTTTTATCAAATTATCACATATTTATATATTTATATATTTAATTTTTCTACTTTATGTAATCTCTGAATTTTATTAAATATGGAATCTAGTAAATTTTTAACGACATTAAATATCAAGTAATATCCCTCCTAAAATTTCTTGATTAATTCCTGGCTTTGATAACGAGTCTTATCTTTTTTGTACACAATAATTTTTAAAGCCAAGCGACATTAATTTCTTTAGAACAATAAATCAGCATATATAAATAAATGTTAAACATTACATGATATACGAAGACTTACGATATTTTTCTGGCACAGTCCCTCGAATTGTTGCATCTTCTGAGAGGCGAGTAACCTAGCTTTGCCCGCAGCCGAGCGCAGTTTTCCGGCTGCCTCTTCCGGAAGTGCAACAGTATCGCAACTAGCCAATTCCGCTTCCGTTGACGCAGCTAACGAGAGCAACCTGTCTGTCTCCTGTTTCAACAACTGTAACAATCGTCCATAAAAATGTCAGTAAACTCCTTTTCTCTCTTACGTACTTCTTCGTTCCACCAGTTAGGCTTACCTTCATGAAGTAATGTCCATTTTTCTCTTCGACCGTTTTCTCCGCTTCCTGAACCTGTTTCGCCACGTTCGTAGAGCTGGCGCTCGGTTCTAAGACAGGTAGAACTACCTTTGGAGCAGCTGGCTGCTGATCCGGGATGCTAGTCACGCTGGAGTTCAGCTTTTGCGCTCCGCTATCCGCTAGATTTCCGTCTAAATTCTTGGCAGCTGGGATTTTTGGTTTCTGCTCGGCCTTCCGCGAAACTGGCGTTACCCTGACGATAAAGGAACGTGCAATTTTACAAGTCGCAGGTTGTTCTAGGTGGTAATAAATTTTCTCGTGTAACAGTAACAAGTTTAGCAATAAAATAAGAAAAGCTTTTTTACACGTTAATTCTATGAACTTCTTTGTTTCAATTCACAAATATTATTGGTTAGCGAAATCATTGTGCATTATATACCGTATATTTAGCATTGTTTGTAATATTATTTTATGATAAAACTGTCAGTTTAATTCATAATATTGTCGACCAAGAAACTGCGTGAAAACGAATGAACGAATAGATAACTATAGTTATGGCTAAGGTAGTGTCTTTTCCCCAGGTGAAAGTGAACAGGATTTTATTCTGATTAATACTAAAGTGTTACAAAGACATCAAGAAAAGATTGAAAAAACAGAAGTACCTCTGCAAGGGCTTGAGAACTTGTTCCGAGCCATCCGTAGGTCTTCTAGGGCTAACCACAGGAAGTTGAGCTCGAAACTCTGGTCTCAGATGTCTCAACACTGGTAAATTCTTCAAGGATTCCTCGGTATTTGCATTCTCAGTCGATACGTCGTTGTTGTTGCTGTTAGATTTATTAAAACTGCTGTCCGTATTGCTTAATTTGCTAGTGCTGCGCCTGAAGAAGAAACCCTGGGCTAGTGCTCCAGGACCGTAGAGCCGTTCCACTCGTTGCTGAATGAAAGATTTCTCACTGCTCGTGCTGCTGTTTGTCGTTTGATTTTCTACTTGCTCCGTCGTGCCGTTCAATATACTCGTGTCGCTAAACGAACTCGAAGCATTTGAGACTGCGAACAAAGAAAAATTTAAATAAGAATATATATATATATATATATATATATATATATCTGTGAAAAAATCGTGGAAATTTAACAGAAGATATTATAATACAAGTAGTATAATAACACTAGAAAATAAAAATTTGCTTGAAACTCCTAACAACCAACAATTTTACATTTTTTTAGAAAAATTTATAATACAAAGGAAGAGGAAACCAATAATTAAATCACTTACGATTAACAGTAGGTTGCTTTGGAGACACTGAGAAATGTTTATTCTGTTGACTGCAAGACATCATCTGCGATATTCCAGGACTACGCTTCATAGGGGTAGAAGCTTGTACCGGGCTAACGTCAGGATACGTCGAATGCAACACGCCCTTGTCGACCTCGGAATAACCCTGATAGATACCCATCGAACTTCTGGATTCCCTGTAAGTCTCCACTTTACACTCCTCCTTCAAACCGTTCGAGAAACCATTTTGTCTATCCATTGCTAGGGGTGAAATTGACTGACTCTTAGGCGGATAAGGGTGCGCTGGCACGTTGAGATTTTCGTTCGATCTAAAACATACGACATAGTTTTATGTCAATGAGACAGATGTGGATTTATTCTCTGTTAACCAGGGAAAAGTTGTCACTCGAGTTGCCATTCTTTTGTAATTTTTCTATATTTTTTTTTTTTTCATTTTATTCGACTCAAAAATATTACCGAATTTGAATTCTGTAATTACAAATTCTTTGATTAAGACCAAATTGGCAATTGACACTATTAAGTGATTAAAATAAGAAATTTCATTTCGACCAAAAAAACGAAATACAACATAATATTGTGTAAACATCATACGATGTCCTGGCTTTCTGATAAAATATATAAATTTCATCACGATTATCAGATCAGATATACGCTGCAATCTGACAAAGTGTTTTACCTGAAAGCTGCCGGGCTGGTGTCTCTGGTGATCAACCTGGTGCCAGGGCTGCTGTCCCTCGATCGGAATCCTTCCCTCAGCTTACTGTCGTACCTATTGATCCCCGAATAGCCGCTGATGCTACAGGCCAGGCCCAAGTAACTCGGTTTCTTCACTGTCAGCTGCTCTGGTTCCGGGCTGCTTCGATGACCATTGCTGACGTTTAACTTCTCATCCGGCGACAAATGCGACTTCTGCAGCGTTTCGCTGCTACCGTTTGCCAGATTCTCCGGCGAGGATACCGAGTCACCGTTGCAAGACAAATTCAGGCTGTGCAACGTTTTCTTCGATATCGTGTCTATGGTGTTCTCTGTAAATCACAAGCCTTCCATTGGTCTCGCAACGTTCAGCCAAATCGAGGCCTACGCTTTTGTTCCTGATCCCGTTTCAACTCTTGGACACGCTGATTGAAATCTACACACGCCGAGTAGAGATTAATTCCATACACGAGCACGCAATGTTAACTACGAGGTTCGCGAATCTTTCGCGTATCGTGGTCGAATGCACGATCGGAAATGACGCGCTTGAGCACGCGCCCAACGAAGAGGAGAGCCGCACGGAAGAAAATAGGAAAAGCGTTTCCCCAGCGGGAGACGACGAGAAGAAGGTTTGATACGTGCCCGTTCGAAACGCGACACAGGAATAACCCTGGAATGGCAAGAGGCCGGCCGAGTCACGATGCAAAAGAGACAAGACCGCGCCTCTCTGCATCTCTCCTCGCTTCGGGCTCCTCTTGGCACCGACGACGATAGAAAGAAGCCGGCGTTCTCTTTGCACTTGCTGCCGCACTCGCCTACGATCTAAATTCGATCGACACCGCGGGGTGTCGAGTGAAAAGGAAACGATCCAAAGGTGGAGGGAACCGGCAGCCTTGAACGAAACCGAGATCGTCTCTCGCCTAAAATTTGTGTTGGGCGAGTCGATTGACGAGTGTGATCCTCCTGTGGTGACCTTCGACGCAAGGTCAAGCGCAAGGTCGCACCACGATCACCATCCAAATTCCACGGGTTTCTGGATATTCCACGAATATCTGATTTCGAGGATTTCGCTTGTTCGTACCACGGTGAAGACACGTGTATCAGCAAAGTACGGAGAAATATGTTATTCGTTTTAAAATTCATCACTTGATTCTACCATTTTAACGCTGGAAATATATAGAATTTATGACAAAATACAAAAGTAAAGTTCTAGCGTTGGATTGCTCGTAAACTCTTCGAATATTGAACCATTTTGAACGTAACAGATTCTCTGGAAATTCTTACAATCGATGTATTGTGATGCAAGTGTCTCTGCGTGAAACGAGCGTGAAAACTTTGGCAAAGAATTTTCGAAATTTAATCACCAATCAAAGGGACGCTCCACGAAATCGAGCCACCTTTTTAAACTAAAAATTCATTCGTCGACTCTGACTAATGTTAGAGAATACTAGCCTAAATTAAGTAAAGTTGCTTCCGTATCGCTGCGTAATCCTTCCACTATATACCATGTTACTATTGTCCTGTGACAAAACTTTCAATAATACCGTAGCAGCATCCAGAAATTAATTTTCATACAAGATGTGTTATGGACTAAGTAACTAACAGATACAATTTATGAACAATGACAAATGCAATTTATTTCCTGATTCTAACTCAAAACCGTTTTAAGACCTAGAGAAAACATAGCTTCGCTCTAATCAATTTAAACAATGAATTAATCAATATTTATCAGATTGTGCAACCCAATTCCAATCATTGTCAGATTATTATAAACAATCTATACATATATCCTTGTGAAACCATAAACCTACAATAGGAAGAATAAATATATATCTATCCGTCGCGCGACAGAAACTACACCGATGAAAAAAAAAAAAAAAAAAAAATGTCCACGATTCTAGAGGAACGCTGTAGTGGAAAAATTCTGTAAAAATTCAGTTGCAAACTTTGCTGGATCCTGGAAGATAGCGAACCTGATCGGTCGGACGCGGACTGATCGACGTCCAAACTGCAGCTGCCGATGCTCTCCTGGCTAGTCATGTTTGGACGATGGCTGGCGACGATGTCGATGGTGATTTTCGGGTCCGGGTCGAGGCGGCGGTAATTAAGTGGCTGTACTGCAAGGGAGAGTGGCCTTGTACGGCGATTCGATTTGATGCAGGCGGCGCCTGGGACCGACGGCGTCAGCGTCGCGGCGCAATAATCGCCGACGTCCTCCAGGCCCGCTACCTCGCCGCCACCACGTGTTTGCCCGCTAGCTCGTCGACGATCCTCGTCCCCGCGGTCCTCGTGCACACTGTTGAGTTTTCGTTCTTTTTTTGTCCCGCGACTTTTTCTTTTTCTTCCCTCTCATTCTTTTTTTTTTTTTTTTTCATTTTTCAAAAGTGTCTCTTTACAGGAGAAAACATGTCGAGGGTTTTCCTGTCTTTTCTCAAGATGTTTTCTTGTTCGCTCTCGTGCGAAGACGACGGAATTAGACAAGTATTGTAGATTTTAAAAAAAATTTCTCAATTCTTATATATAGATGTAACGCGACAAGTGTGAGCAAAATTGATTGAGTAGCTAAATTTATTGAAAATCGAAGAAGATATTATGTATTGTTGTATGTTAAAATCGTACAAAATCGAATAATTAAATTTATAGAAAATAGGAAGAGATTTATGTATTATTTATTGTAATCTAGGTTCATCATGTATAATAAAAATTGTGCAAGAATTAATTTTTACTTTTCTTTATCCAATTAAATCCTTTTCCGAGTATAATTCCAATCACAATATTATTCAAGCACAGAAACTGAAATCTTTATAGAATATAAAATATAGAATTACAAATTTTTCAAGTGGTTCTATAGTTTTAAATATTTTCATAAATACATAAACACTCTGAAAAGTCTAAAAAATCCGCCATCTTCGACACAATTTCTCTGTTGGAATTTCTATTAACTAACTCTTCGATGCTCTCGAGCTGTTTTCCCGAATCCATGTGAAAGAACGTGCCGATTTCACGAATTCGAATTCGACGACACATCATTCACCACCGAACGATCAATGTTCTGTACTCCCGAACAAACGAATGATATAAATGGTGTGAAATGATGTATTTAAACGGTAAGAATCGCGAGAAAGCGGAACGAATTAACACGAAGCATCAAAGGATCAACTTTTTTTTGTACACGGATGGAACGAAGCTCGAGGGCATCGTTGATATTAATTGGAAGCTGGTGCCATCTCGCAAATATAATCAACATTAATTGTCTCTTGACTCGCGATGTTCAATTTAACTCGACTACGATCCTCAGATTTTCATATTTCGATCTTACTCTCGTTTCAGGGGACAAAGTTAATTTACAATTTCGTTGGTGGAACGAAATGGAAATTAAATGGTCGAAACCGAGGGGAAATGGATCTAGATAAACGTTTCAAAATGCTCGATTGCCTCGAAGGAAAATCGCGTAACGCGTTTCACCACGATTGAAAGCAAAGCGGAAAATCGTACGAAACAATTAGAAGAGATTGCTCAACGAGACTGCATGCTCCGCGAACCTTGGTAATTTCGCGCGTAATCGTGCCACTGGTTAAGCAAACAATTTTATATCACGGTGAATCACGAAAGGGGATAGGTCCCAGTGGCACCGCGATGCTTCGCTTTCGAGAAGCAAATAACACGTGCGTAAACTGTATCCTCGTGGATCTAATTTTACGAGACGAGCGTAGACGAGACGGAGGTAATAAATCCCGATATCTAGCGTTACAATAGCATCAGCTTCCACGTTTTCTACTCTTAACCTTAACGTAGAACCTTGATCATCACCACACGTCTGTTGAATCAACTTGTTACGAATCGTTTAATCGACAAATTAGGTAATTTCATTCAATTTTTATTCTTGTTTCTCAACCGAGGAAATTTTACATCAATTTATGTTCAGATAATTAAGGCTCTGCTATATACCTTTTACAACACGCTGAGACGTGAGATGGAAGAAGGAATCTATAGAATCGGGGATTCGCGAATCAATCGCTACGATATTTAAACTAGTTCTGATACTTTCAGATAAAAATTAAGAGTCATCTATTTTATAAAGAAAAAAAAAAGAACAGAAATTATTATACAGAAAATTATTATTAGAAGAGATATGATTCATTGATACAACATGACGTGTCATTTTAATTATCTATCGCGATTTAACTTGTCTGTAATAAATAAATGTTACAACGATTTGTAAATACTTTTCGCAACCATTGTAGTTTAAACACCGTAGCGTCACTATTTATAGAAGTTTAAGGTTGAAAACGTTGCAAGGAAAGATTCAAAAACATGTATGTTAAACGGTGCATTGTCCTTAATTATTTCAGCCGAATATTCACGCGGCGTTAATTGCACTAGTCGAATCGTATGGAGGTGCGCGCAATAACAAGGCGGGTACAAGCTGATGCATCGATCGTGTACGATTCACTTTCGAGAATCGCATGCATTGTAATTAGAGGTGGACCGCGTGCAACGAGGAATCGATATTGTCGTTTTCACATTTGTAACGTCACGCCAATTAAGTGGATGTGTTTTTTTTTTTTCGTTACTCGCGTGAAGAACATACACATTCACAACTTTCAATTTTGTTAAAAATCTAGGACTGTTAGTTCAACACATACTGGTTTCGTACTATCACATTTTGCAAACGATGAGGTTACGTACAGCGTAAAAATAAATATTAGGACACGTATGTCGTCACATTTCTTGGTAGAAAATTCTAACAAATTTTATTTTACTTGCAATTTTATGTATGTATAAAATAAGCGGGAAATTCCGTTAATCGTTAATAAGTTGAATGTCAGCATTATTTCATTTAGTATTCTACAGTTGTACAATTTAGGGAACATTTATAAATAAACGTAACTAGACTGTGGATTTTTATAAAAATCAACAAAACCTACATAAACCAATACAACCAGTAAATCCAAATTAAATTAAATTAAATTAAATTCGTCAATTTGTATTAAATTCGGCAAGTGTCCCAATGCTTGCTACAAAATCCAGCTCGAATGTACCAAACATATTTTCACAAAACAACCTCGAAAGATCCGAGCTGCGAAATTGTCCCTTCAACAAATTTTTCTCTCGCCAGTTGCAAGAGAGAGAAAGAGAAAGAGAGAAAGAAAGGCGAGAGTTGATGAAGTGCAAAGGTGTTCAATCTATTTGCAAAAGTGTTACGGATTGAAGGAGCGTTGCGTGCGACGTGCAGCGAAGCAAAGGTATGCGAAGACGGTGCAAGGTGATCGATGATCATGCCTTTGATCGTGAAATGCGATTGATGATGAATGTGACCCGGGGGGGGGGGGGGGGGGGGGAGAACGAACGTAGCGGGGCAGAAAACGTCGTCAGAAAAATGTCAAAGCGTCGCGAGAGGATCACGTCCTCTTCAGGCCCCCACTACCGATCGTTAGAGAAATCGCGTGTCGTTGCTGCTCATTGTTAGCCAGCAACGCTAATCAAAATTCATTTCTTAATCAGGTAATTACGACTCCGTTGACCGTAACGTTAACCAAGAGGAAAGAACCAGCCTTAAAGAGAAGACTATATCGTGAGCCACTGGGTTTAACAGAGCCGTCAGTGGAAACAGTGAAACTGTTGTTGCCGTTGGATAAATAAAACGGTTCGCTACATTAGCAGGGAGAGAGAGAGAGAGAGAAAAGTTTCGCTGTTGAAGTGAAACGAAATAAATTGTACGTGGATACATATGCTATACGTAGCTGGAAGGCTGGAATTGATGTACCTCGCTCATTTGTTGAGAGAATGAAAAGTTTACACGTGAACCGCTACTGAAGAGGATAAGATCGGTGAAACTACTCGCGTGAAATCAAGAGTAGGAGGGTAATACGCCGCGGTTGGAAATCGAAATCGTGTAGAAATTGCCCTACCTCCTACGCCAGTGCTTCCAAAGTAGGAACTTGGACACGTTCTTTTTCGCCACGGGGTTCACCGTGTAGGTGCCACTTTCGACTTTCAGGGGCATCTTCTTCCACGCACTTTCGATCGCGCCACGAATCGACTACGTTCATCGACTACGTTCCTTCGAGTCCTCCGGTCTTATTATTGTATTATTGTACCCGAGGATGATATCGGAGCCGAGTTACTATCGCGTTTCTATCGATTCGCCAGCCGCTCTTTCAGAGCCCGAACCTCGCGAAGTCACTCAATTATCAGTACGTTTATCCTTTTGATTTCAATGGAAACTTGGCACACGAAACCGCACACGGTGCATCACGATGCAGAGACCTTGAGATCCTGAATCTAACGCGAGCATCCGTTCGCAACTTAAAGCGTTGTTAGAACCTCATCATTCTCATTCTGAAGTTTCTCGTTGCTTCCTATTGGAATTTGTCTTGTGAAACAAGTGTACACTGGCCGAAGAAGATGACACCACTCGGAGATAAAAATACTATTGGAGCAACACGTTTTGGGGTGAATCACACTTGGGATGAATAGAACTTAGCGAGATCTTTCTTGCTCTTTGACGGCCTTTGTCACCGGCAAGAACTCCACGAAAGCACGTTGCTAGGATGACTAGTTACCGAAGACTGGCATTCCCATCTCATCTCTCTCTTCTACGACTCTCTAACGTACTCTCTCTCTCTCCCTCTCTTTCCTCTCTCTTTATCTCGTACCCTCGGCACGAGGATATTTCGGGAGCACTCAAAAAACCACGAAAGCACACGAGTTGCTTCCACCGGTATACCTCCGGAATAAGCACCAAGTAAGCACGGTCCCCTCCGGTTACACGGATTTCCCCAATTCTTTCAACAATTTGTTTCTCAATCTATTTACGAGTATGACTTAATCAGGGGATACGCTTTGAGTCGATTAATCGATTTCGAGTGATTTTGCTTGTGCGATTGATTGTCTGGTGTTTGGATAAAAATTAGAGAGGCGACGAAAGCGATGGAAATTGTATTCGGAGCAAGTGAAGAAATTTTCGATGAAAGATAGACGACTGGTTTTTGGCTTGAGACCTTTTTCTCTTAACAGTGACCGCTGTGATTTTGTTTAATTTCGAAAAATTAATGTAAAATACTCGTTTGCCGATTAAATTACACATCCTGATAAATTTCAATGTCGGAAAGCTCATCAGTTCCTAAAAATTATTTCCTGATTTCCTCGCGCCTGGTTCGAAGATAACGGCCTCGAAAATGAAATACAAATGCCTGACTCCGTTTGCTTTTACGCTGGTTGCGCGCGTTGTCTAATGATAAGAAAGAAACGCGCGCGATGGGACACCGAGCACGGGGGAGATTTCGTGAAGAG